ATAAATCAAATGAAAAGGATATAAGCAGAAATTTTAAATACTAAAAGAAATCCATAAAATAGTTGAATATAATGGTCTCCTGGGAGTGGAACTTATGCTGAAATGGATGGAGTGAGTAATTGATACTTTCATGATCAGTTTTGTGGTAATTTTGACCTTTTAAATGTATTGTTACAGTATTTTAAATGTTTTACTTTTACAAAAATTTTAAATTATACATATAATTTTATGTATATTAACTATGTATTTTAGTGGATTCTTTTTTTAAGAAAATTATTTAACAGAGCTTAGTCAAACAAAGATGAAATTGATCTATTAAGAGGAAATCATTTCTTTTGGAAAAAATTCCATTATACATTAACAAAGCTCTTGGGAGAACTTAAGTAGCCCAACCCACAATCACTTACATAGATGGGCCAGACACATGCACCAGCAGAACTGATGTGCTACTGGAGTTTCAGGTCTTTTATTCACCCACGCATTGCCTTCTCTTTTAAAATGTCATTGATCTTCAGCAATGTAATGAACTGAATTTCTCAGTGTAAGATAGTTTAGCAAAATACCCTCCCTTTAAATAGGAAGAACTAAAAGCAACATAAGCAAATACAAAACAAAGAATGCTGAAAGGAGAACAGGTTAAAAGAACAACAACAGCATAACAGCAACAACTTCACCCCCTCTCGGGTTTCTGGAAGGACTTCTCTCAGGTAGACAGAAACATTGACTGTCACACTCTCTGAGGAAAGAAATTTCTGGCCTCATTTCCTCATATGTAAAGGACAGTGAGCTAGAATCAATAATTTGTAAATTCTTGAGCTCTAACTTTTTCACTATAAAATTTGCCTACACTTATCCAATATGTTTACCCTCATTATCTTCTTTGATCTTCAAACAACCCTGCATATTAGTCAGGGCAGGTGCATTATGGGTAGAGTTAGGCNTTTGATCTTCAAACAACCCTGCATATTAGTCAGGGCAGGTGCATTATGGGTAGAGTTAGGCTCATAATGGTTAAACAGTTTATGTGAAGTCAAACAACTCATAAGTTGCAAAAGCAAAGCTCTAACTCACCTTATTTTTAGCCATATATCTAAGTCTCTCCACTGTTTCCACTTACACAGTTACGCTGATCAAAAACCCATAGTTATTAAAGTGATACCTGTGCCTTATGTGTTTATTTGCTTATTTTTTCATTCAGTAAATATTTATGTGTAAACCCCATAGGCTTTTAAAGTATCAATCTATCACTAGAGATACAATGTCAAAGCCACATCATTACACCTTAGGCTTCCTTTCTCTCTCTTCACAGAGTCAGATAAGAGTGGACATAGTCTTTCATTAATTCTTTTAACAGCTAACGTGACTCAGACATTCTCACTATCTTCTTGATTTAAATTATTCAACTTCCACTTAAGAAGTTCCAGAGAAGTGTTAAAGTTCCCATCCTCCAGGAATCAGTAATCAAAGGAAAGTAAATTGGATTGTTATGAGAACAATCAAAGGACAGATAGACAGAAATTTTCCTACCAGTGGAAAATATTCTGTGTTTTCAGTCTGGAAACAATGATATCCAAATCTGACAAGCATTGAAGATGGTCATTTTTATTTATACCATATCTTCCAGGGTTCTTAAAATGGGATTGTTATCATACGCACATAAAATGAGAGAGAAGAGTCAAGAATGATTTCCAGATTCTGGTTTGGGAGACTGAGTATTAAGACACTGTTGCTCAAAAGTCAAAATGACAAGATCAGTTAGAAGTAAAGGGAAGCAGTGAATTTCTTGTTAGATACAGGCCCTTGAAACATGCAACAGGAGATGTCTAGAAAGCAG